TGCAGGGGTGCACAAATATCTCTGAAATTATAAGGAGTTACTTTTTACTTGTTACTCATTTTAAAAATTAACAATATTATTTATTTATTAAAGAAAACTCATTATGTTACAAGTACTTTCAACCACCGCGCCCCAACATTAAAAGAGACGGGAAATCTGTTCAGCAGCTTATTTTAGAAATGAATCCACTTCACTGGAGCAATAATGAACCTGAGGAGACAACAAGCAGCCGAACTGGAAACACTGCAGCCTCTTATTAAAAATAATAAAAAACAAAGCAGGGCCCTCCTGACTTTTTAACTGATCACTTATTCATAACAGCAACGACGAGGATGATTTTTACAGTGCATAACATTTCTTTACATCAAAAAACAAAGCAAGTCTCTCCTGACTTTTCAAACCAGTCTTCATAACAGCAACAATGTTTTTAACGCCTCTGTCTGCGATAACAAAATAAAACACGCAAGCGTCTCGACGTTACTGTTTTGCACGTGTGTTTATAAGAGAAGTATTAAGTGCTTTCACAAAACGTTGACTGACGCCACTCTGTTTCACGTTTCTTAGCACATGCTTCTTGAAAGCTTTCTGCTGGTCTCAGCGTTTACGGAGGGCCGTGTTCTCTGCACCTGTGTGACACACCAAGTTTGGTCTGATGACTTCCAGCTGTGGAAAGAACGCCTCTCTCCCTCGTTCTTCCTTTAGCTTCTTGGCTAGCAGCTGACTTGTTACGTCCGGTGTCGCTGACCTGCAGCGCGGTCGCCCATGTCATATATATACAAGAAACCCGTCTATACTCGAAAGAAATAACAATTTGATACTCATCATGATAATTATCGATATCAGAAGTTTTATCGTGATAACATTTTTGGCCATGTCGTCCAGCCCGAGGGTCAAACATGTTTGTTATATCCACAATCTGTGGATATAACGTGTGACCTTCAGATCCTGTCTGCCAGCCCTTCACCCTACAGGGTCATTTGGGCTGAAAATCTGCGTTGACCAGCCTCGGGTCGGGAACGTCCCCGCCATTGTGCGAGGGACAATCTGACCCTGTAGTGAGCAGCCTGGTGTTTCTGTGTGGACCAGGTTCTCTGTGATCCGACACACCGTTAAATCCTCGCTGAGCCGTCTGACAGCACAAACAACTGAATCACAGAGCAGGAGCAGCCCGAACACACAGCTGCTGTCGTTAACCTATATTATATTGATTTGGTCGGAGACTGCCGGGACGCCCGTCCCCCTCGCCATCATGTTTTCCAACTGAAAAGAGGCCGTAGAAGAAGAGCGACAGCTGTTTCCTGTTGTTCGCAGTCGTTATCGTTCTAACAGGAACATGAATAATTTGTGGGTAAATGAATAAAGGTCAGACAGGTTTTTCATCGTTGTGCTGAACTGATTATTTGATGAGTCAGTGGACAAAATGTTTTGATGGCACATAAATACTTTGTCAAGAAAAAAAGACGTTTCTCTGTTTCATGTCGTCGTTAGTTAAATATCTTTTTATTCTAAGATCTCACTTCAGCATCTTGACCCCCATCACCCATTACAGAATTTATTGCCAAATTTGGGACACTGATCCTTCGTTCTGTACCCACAGTGTCTGAATGGGCCCAGAATACTTCAGCCAGACAGAGTTCTGGTTATCAGTCGGCTTTAAATTCAGCTTCCAGTGTTTGTCACCGGGCTGGAGTTTCCCCTCCTGGTGGGGAAATCCCCAGCGTTTCCTCCCTGTCTGCGTTCGTCACTCCCAGCCAGGCTTTAATATTTATCTGCTGCTTATCGCTGTATTTTACAATTACAATACAACAATTATTTTCATTATTGACTAATCTGTGGATTATTTAGTTTAAACTATAAAATGTCGAGAAATTGTGAAAAATGCTCATCCCAATTTTCCACGTCCTCAATTCAAAACCCAAAGACTCTTCATTTAGTGTTAGAAATGACAAAGAAAAGCAGCAATTCCTCACATTTAAGAAGATGAAACCAGCTAATTTTTCACATTTTTGCTTAAAAAAATGACTTAATCGATTATCAAAATAGTTTCGACTAATCGTTGCAGCTCTGTGTCAGATTCAGATATAAATACAGCCAGTCAGCTGAGAGCAGCGCTGCCTCTGTGTTTGTACACAAACGTATGGGTACGACGGTGCAGATAATGTACTTTTAGAAGTATATTCAGAGTAAAGTGTCTGTTTGAAGTGTTGGGCTGGGCAGTAAAACAATAATGATAATTACAGAATTTTCCTCAATAACAATATAATAAATGTTAAATATATCGTCAGCAAATATTTGGTTTAATTCTTTTGAATCACGAACAAATTAGCACTTAATTTTTCTATTAAAATATTTTATTTTGTTGAGAAGAGGAGGCCTAAAGAAAGATGAACTAATCATATTTGTTGAAAAAGATTTTATCATAATAGTTGTGAATGTTTCACCTCAGACTTGTGAAGTCATCCATGTGAACCATCTGGTTTCTTTAACATTTACTCAGGACCAAAAATCAGCCTTTAAACAAAATAATGATTTGACATTTGTCGTTAATAGTAATAATAATAATAATAATTATCGTGATAACACTTTCGGCTTTATTGCCCAGCCCTATTTAAATATGGGAACTTTTATAATGCATGTAAATATATTTGTGATCAAACTTTTTCTAATCAATATCAACTTCTGATCAATTTCAGGCTTAAATTCACTTCCATTAAGCGTGCGTGTTACAATACCGTGGTTCCTACTACTAAAGATTATTTTCATTTCGTTCTTTGTTGATTAATCGATGAGTCGTTAGATCCAGAAAATTGTGCAAAATGTCGATCACTGTTTCCCAAAGAGAAAGATGACGTCTTTAAATGTCTTGTTTTGTCCACAACCAAAATATTTTCAGTTTACGAGCGCAGAGGAGCAAAGAAACCAGAAAATAATCACATTTGAGAAGCTGGAAGTGTTTTTCTGTATAGCTGTCCTCTGTGTGTTTGTGTCTGACTCGTGAAGAGAAACAGAAACTGCTTTTTGACCACAGAAACCAGAAGTTCTCACCCAAGCCAGGCTTAGAGTAGGAATCTGTGGTCTCGAGTGATTTATTGAAGAGAGAGAGAGAGAGAGAGAGAGAGAGAGAGCTGGTTTGTGACAGATAATGTACATTTAGCACGCAAACGTATAATGAGGGATCTTTTATGAACACTGACGAGATGTTTTTCTCTCCGCACTTCATCGGGCCTGTGAACACATGCAGTTTGTGTAGTAATTGGAAAGACGATCAATACATGAACAAATGGCTTTTAATCAATAAAGGCAGAGCAACTAAATAATAATTCCATATTGAGATAATACATCAAATAATCATCATAATAATGTACAGTGATTCATGCATTTGGATTTATTCCCTCTCTATTAATAAATCACATTGTACACAGGGACTAAAGCGGAACCCAAAACACATTTTATTATCTAATAAGTGTAATTTGAGGATACAAATAAATCATAAATCTTTTTTTTTTTCTGACAGTGTAAAAATGTATTAGTGTAAAAAAATGTGGAGAAATCTTTATTATTATTATCTTTATAATATTTGTCTTTGTGGCAGCAGTTTCAGTCTGGAACAGTTGTGTTTGTTTCGGGGGCGGAGCTAGGCTGTCAGCACAGTTTCATCGTGGTTTCCACCTGCTACAAAGACACATTAACCCAGTTTACTTGAGCCCAGACTCGTCTGAAAGTCCACAGAGTCTGTCTGCTTCGCCAAACACACCAGAAGCGCTGCAGTGCGTCCAGGAAGCGTCCCAGCGTCAAGCAGCGCAGCGCAGATGAACCGGGCAGGAAGTCAGACATTTTCAAAATAAAATATCCGTTACAGACTTCCGATCGTATATCAACAATAAACACAGTTCAATCGGGCAAAAAAGAAATTTAATCACCAAATCGACAAAATCTAAACGTGTCGGCAAAGTCCGGCAGGTAAACCGCTCTTATTCTGAAATGCTCCCTGTGGTATTTGCTAGACGCACCCGTCAAGACGAGGAATGAAAGTGAGCCACAGCGAGCTCTGAAGAATGTAGTGGAAGCACAAAAAGAACAATTAAAACCACGAGGGGCAGGCTGCACGCTCCGCTGCTGAAACGCTCCTGAGAGGCTTCCAGAGGAAGTTGATGCCGTAAATAAACCTCACAATTCCCATGATGCATGAGGGTGAAGGAGTTTTGTTAAAATGTGCTAATACGTTTGCCATTTGTTTGAAGTACAAATGTTACTTTATGATTTATGTTGATTAAATCTAGTGTGTTTGTTGGTAGTCGTCCTTCTTGTGGTGGTTTACCGTTGAAACCAGGAGTGAAGGGACTGTTTCGTTTGATAAGAGCTGCTGAATTCTCCCGGTACAGCGTATCGTCATGTACCGTTATTGTTTGTTTGTGTCCACTATAATCAGCTGAGCTGAACTTCATAGTCGTCGTTCTTCAGTCAAAAGGAAAATGACTTTATGAAGCGCTGCAGAAAGCCCCCCTGCATGGAGCTGAAATAATTGGTGCGTTAACTGATCCACAGTCAATCAACACGAAATAAATCTGCAAACATTTTGATAATTAAATAATAAATTGAGTCAAAATGTCAGCAAAACTGAGAAATAATGTAAATTTCACAGTTTTCAGGTATCGATTACACCTCATTCTGCAGCAGTGGAAGGAAAGTGAACCATGTCTACAGTAAACAGCTTGGATCTATTATATAACATTAAAGAAGGCAGTGAAATAATGAACAAACCTCCGTCATTTAATTGTTTATTTTAGATCTCAACATGTTTTGGTGACGGAAACGTTTTTAACTTTTGCTGCTGATTTTTGTACCAATTCAGGTTTACAGAAGAACTACAAACATGGCAGCTGTTCTAACACTTTTAACCGGCAGTGGACGTGACAAACGTGTGTTATAAGGCTGGCTGGATCCCACAGTGTGAAGTTAAGCCCGTAGGCGACGAGAGAATTCACTTCATATTTCTGCTGTTTGTCTTTACAGGTGACCGGACGAATACAGAAGGAGCTCAGATGGAGTTTAAATCCAAGCAGTGGTTCGGTGCCTCGGTACGATCTAATGGAGAACACATCCTGGTGAGAATCACTACTCACACACACACACAGATATATATATATACACTCTATAATGTTATATTTGTATTCTGTCTATATTAGGAATGAACGTTTGGGGGAAAAAATCTAATTAGATTTTTTAAATTGAAGTTTAGCTAAAGTTCAATATTCACTGCAAGTCTGTTTTTGACTGAAGCCGCGTCAAGTAGCACAGAGCAGATGAACCAGACAGGAAGTCGGACACAGAACGGCAGAGAGAATCTGGCCAATTTTCAAAATAAAATACCCATTGCAGGCAAGAATCCCAGAATCGTGCATCCACAATAAATACAGTTAAAACAGACAAATTTAACTGCGTAGCTACTTAACCATGGTGGAAGCACAAAAATCAAGGACAACTGAACAAAAGTCAGCAAAATCAGACAGACGAAACGCTCTTATTCTGGAGACTCACAGACGTTTATGCAGCTTTAATGCTTCTGATGTGTGTCGCAAAGAGCTCACGAAGAAAAAAAACTTATTCAAAGCATTATTAGTTATATTAGACCACAAACCGACCACGTGTTCTGAATGATGACGTAGAAACAGGAAGAAGAGGAGGACAGGAGTGATTCAGAGATTATTACTCTCTCAAAATGTTTCATAGACTGACAGAGTTAGCAGGCCCATTACTATTATCACATTTTAACAGCTTTTAACCTGTTAATCAGGGAAAATACCCTCATGGACATGAAACATCAGCGAGGTTGGTTCATTTGCTTTCACACCACAAGCAAACCGCACCAGACCACCTCTTCAAGGAGGTCTCGGTACGCTTGTTTGGTGAGCAAACGAGTGCAATTGCTGCCTTCACACCTTCCCAAACGATCCGCACTAACTAAATGAGGCAGGTGTGAGAGCCCTCTTTCATAAACTGATTGTGCAATAAAGGACTGTCTTTATCGTGTCTTGTGTTCTGCAGGCCTGCGCCCCCCTGTACCAGTGGTCCACCTTCGGCGTCTCTGAGCGAGAGCCGGTGGGAACCTGTTTCCTGAAGAAGGGGGACACCGTGGTCGAGTACTCGCCCTGCAGATCAAGTGCGTCCCCTTCGTCTGTCTTCTCAAACAAACATTAATCAGCCAACATCACACGCGGACAGACGATCTTTAACCCTCCGTCAGCTGAGGACACACGGCCGGGACAATAAAACACCAACAGCTGCTTCTTAAAACAGCTAAATAAATTCTAATTAACGCAGTTGACGTGAGAGGAGCAGGAAAACTCTGCAGCTGCGTCACTTTAGAAACACCTGATCCGTATCTTTGTTCAAGCAGCAGTATCTAAGTGGGTGTAGAAGCAGCTGATGCTAGCACCAGGTTAGCTTCCATAAGGCCTGTTTCACCCCCCCTCTCTGAGGTGAAATGTGACGTCACTTCAGATTCTAGCCAGAGTAATGTGAGATCCCGATTGGGCCGGCTGTCTGTCTTTTCGCTGCTTTTATTATATTGGGTTTGAGAAGCAGTCAGAGTTGATGGTAAATGAGAATAAAGCTTTTATAATTGTACTTTCAGAGCTCTGACTGCTTCTGTTTCTGTTAAATATGATTTAACGTTGCTGTTTTACTTCTCTGCCCAGGTGCCAACTCACCAGAGGGGCAGGGCTTCTGCCAGGCGGGCTTCAGTGCCGACTTCCTGAAGGTAGGCAACCAAGACCAACTTGTTTATATAGATACATAACGATGAATGAAAGTGGAGAGTGAACCGTAAAACAATATCATCAACGATGATCATTTTACAGTATGTGAGATATTACAAGGCAGTCGGCTCTGATGCATCTTCATCTCTCTAAACACTTTTAAACCCCTAAACGGGTGAGAGGCCAGATGTTTATTGTCAGAATGTCTTTAGATCCTGTTTAATGCAACCAGGAAGCCCTGTGTTTCTAGCCTAGCTTAGCATAAAGGTTGGAAAAATACACCTCATGCTAAAGGTTAAAATGCTCACCGTAAGAAGACAGTTTGTGTGTTCGACAGAAGAGACGTGTAACATGTCGTCATATTAAAACACCGCCGAGGATGGTCCAGGATCCAGGATGGTCCAGGATCCAGGATGTGTTTGGGTCTGTGTGGTTGTAGAGGTGGAGGTGTTTTCATTAAACCTTTCCACATCTGGGAGTAAGAACTGACCTGAGGGGCCGAATAACAAGTGAAAGTAAAACAATTGTCCCTCTGTGTTTTTGTGGTTTCAGAAGGGCAACAGAGTGGTGGTGGGAGGACCTGGCAGCTTCTACTGGCAGGGTGAGTGTGCTGTTCTAGTCTCACAGCAGGTTTAAAGAGGAAGGAACGGAGCATGCTCAGTCCGTCTCTCTACGCTCCTCTCATGTTCTCTGTGAATAACAAACGTTGCAGGAGGAGGATTCCCCCAGAAATGTTGTGGTTGTGTTGAGACGGCAGCTTCCTGTTCTCAGGGTGTCCAACAGGACGCTTCCTCTTTAATACAGCTCAGATCGCACTGTCCCGCATTTTAATCGCTCATGATAACAAAGTGCTCAGTGGAGTTTGTGACCACTCGTAGTGCTATGGAGCACGATGCACACTCAGTAGGAACCCGCAGTCAGGTGAAAATACTGACTTAGCATCTCAGAATAATGACTTAACATGCTAAGAGATGCTAAGTCATTACTTTGAGACTGTTTCTCATTAAAATGACTTACAGCAGCGGTCGGCAGTAGGCGGCCAGATCGCTTTGATAGCAGAAAAATAAAAAATAAATAAATTGATAGCGGCTGGTGCTGAAACAGATCTCAGTCGTGACAGCTGCTCACATGATCACTTCCTCTTAAGTGATTGTGCCTCCAAAATAAAAGCTTCTTGTGCAGCAATGCTTTATGACAACTTTATTGAGATTTTGAAAAGTTCCTGGCCTCCGGCCTGCTTGACACACCTCTGAAAAAGCCGTCAGTAAAGGTGTGATAGGATTCCCCTGAATCTCCTCAGGGAAGTTAAAATAAGCTTATGAATGTGGATCAAACGCACAAACTGCAGCACATGCTGTATTGTGAGCATGTGTAAAAGTGTCCTTATGATTCATTCGTTTAACAAGGAAGAAAAGTATATAAAGATTTGAAATAATTTGACAAACATTTGGCCCGACGGCTGACTTACAGGATCTTCTTTTTTTTTTCATCACAGTGGCGGGAATGTGCTTCCAAAAGTATTTATAATTTGTTTTCATATATGTTTGATCATTTTAGATCACTGTAATAACGTTCCCAATGTCAGCCTAATTTATACAGCTCGGCTAGCTATCAAGGCTGGTTTTTAGACTCTGCACATGGACGAGCTGCTCAGCTAACGTTACTGTAGAGTTAAATGCACCGACCATGTTTGTTAGACCACAAGGACACGGTGAGCTTTGGTGAGAAACACTGAACGTAAACAGAACTTTTGTTTGTCTAAACCTCCAGAGGTCTGAGATCTGAGATTTCCCAAACTGTAAACATTCATGACAGGTTTCAACTCCTGGGAAATTACTTTACTGTACTTTATGCTAAGCTAAGCTAACTGTGGCATCTACTGGACAGAGTGGAAGATATTCATATTAGATATTCATATTTCCTAAATGAAATGGTCTTGTTCCATTGTCAAAGGTCCAGACGATCCAATCCAGTTAAAACATTTAGTCCAAAACACATTATTCCATCATTAAATCCTCAGGGACGGCTGCCGCATCGTCTCAGAAAAAAACACGTCTGTGTCGAGCTGCCGGCTGATACGGAGCGACGCAGCAGAAGCAGCCTGCCGCCAAGGGGCGGAGCTGTTTTAGAAAAAATACACTGAGACAGACACTCAGAAAAACCTGTGGAAAATACTCATTTTTCATGGTATTGGTATAAAATATAAACTTGGACTTTATGCTGCAGCACCACAGCTAATAAGTCCCAGCTGTAGTAATCTGCAGGCATTTGTTAGCAAACATTTTCAAGCAGAAACTGATATTAATTAATTCCAGTAGCACTTAACAGTGATTCTTTTGGGTTAGACACTGCAGAGTGTCTCTTTCAGAGAAGCCCAAAACCAGGCAGATACTCCAAACGGTTCAAGAACTACATTCAGTTTACTTTGGATCTGCCTTGAACAGCGTTTAAAACGAAACTTACAGGAATGTTAGGAGGTTAATGATGCTGGTTATTGTCTTTACTCTGAACAAACCACAGACTGAAATTGCTTTCCTCTTCATCTGCTGAAGAACAAACACCTGGAGGTCCTGCTCTGGTAGAAAATAGTAACGTTGATCCTCTGAAACGTCCCAAACAGCAGATCGTTGATGACGTGTTGGTGTTGTGGTGGTTTGGGAAGCTGCTGCATCAGCGTGAGTAGCACGCTGTGTTGTGTCATCGTGGTCACGGCCTCCTGTGGGGATCAGGGCGCCGCCGGTACAGACGAATCATCTAGGAGTCATGTGATGTTTCTGCTGACTCTGCTCATGGGAGCAGCTTGGTTGATCACCTCGTGGGCCTTTTCCCTGCAAGGTTTCACCGAGACCGACTGTGATTGGCTTGTGTCAAACTAACCACGCGCAAATCCACTGAAGCTGCGTTCAGATCAAAGTGACCCAGATCTGATTTGTTTCTAACAGTGTGTGAACTCTGATCTTTTCCAGTTCAGATTTGAGCCACTTTCATATGTGGTCCAAATAAGATCCAGGTCTGATTGTTAATAATGCGACCTCGGTCTGGACGTCAGATCGGAGTTCGTGTGACGCTGACGTCACTCTAGAGCAACCGTCGCCACAATTCTGCGCTAGAATGGAAACAAAATTAAACATGTTTCTCCTCGTCCTCACCTGCTCACAGATTCACTTTCTTCCACCTTAAATCCACCTTAAATCCACCGGGTCGCCAGCTCTCTGCTGAGGCACCTGCATGCTACCTGTCCAGGTTAGAAAAGGACAGAAAGTTGTGAACATTTGTCATAAATGAGCAGAATGTGACCCCGGGTTAGCGAGTCTGAGCTAACGTGAGCTAGCCTCTGTGGCTCCTTGTTTACTTCTGTACGACAGCTGCTGCTGCTGCGTGTGATGCCGTGTTATTAGTCTGTGCCAGGCTGCTATAATGTGAACTGTCAGTCATAAAAATCAGAGCTGGGCATTAAATGTGTTGAGCATTAAGAGAGAACACAGATCTTTTATGCGAACCCTCCTTTTCAAGCAGTCTTGATCCGGTTGGCAGCTTTCACAGCAGCTCAAACGAACTGGCGCACTAACCGGGCCGACGCACCAGGGCTCATTTTATCTGAACCACGTCAGGTTCAGAAGGTCGGTGTGACTTACACTTTGTCTTTATAAAAAGTTTTCTTCAGCATCACAGCTGATTCAGCTAATGTTGATGGAGACAGTTTGACTGAATTTAAACAGTTAAAAGTTGCAGCTGACAGCTAACTCGCTGACTTCATGGCTACCACGAGGGAGGGGCCCCAGTGTTAGACTGAAGTCAGGACTCTAACACCGAGAGCGGTCTGAAGTCTCTCCTGAGCTGCAGCTTGCATCATCGCCGCCTTAAGAGTTTAATAAGAGAGTAAAGTCCAGACAGGTGAGGCTGCAGACAGGTGTGTGTGTGTGTGTGTGTGTGTGTGTGTGTGTGTTGTAATCCATGTTTGTGTGGTCGTCTGACATTAGAGGGTGTGACACAGAATGTTTCTTCAGCACTGAGTCAGTCACACATTCGTTCTCTACGACTCCTCCTGGTGTGCGAGAGCCTAATTCCTGTTTCCTGTTGAGTCAACAAACACTCACAGCTCTCTGTTCCTGATCAGACGCTCGTTAACGCTCGGTCTCTGCGGCACTTTAATTACAAGCTGTGTGTTATTTTTTTTAAAACCAAAAGTGCTTCGGCTTGTAAACAAACTCGTGTAAAATCATACGTTCTTTTTCTGTTCTTCACTCCATGTTCTGCTCCGTTCTTCCACCACCTCTTCTCCTCTGTCCTGATTTCTGTTCACTTTTTTCTCCCTGTGTTCTCTCCTCGTTCTTTTCTCTTTCTCTTGTACTCTCCTTGTTCTCTGCTCGTTCTGTCCTCGTTCTCTTCTTGTTTTCTCATTGTTCTCCTGTTCCCCCCTTGTTCTCTGCTTGTTCTTTTCTCGTTCTCTTGTACTCTCCTTGTTCTCTGCTCGTTCTTTCCTCGTTCTCTGCTAGTTCTTTCCTCGTTCTCTTCTTGTTTTCTCGTTGTTCTCTTCTTTCCTTGTTCTCTGCTCGTTCTCTCCTCGTTCTCTTCTAGTTTTCTCCTTGTTCTCTGCTCGTTCTTTCCTCGTTCTCTTCTAGTTTTCTCCTTGTTCTCTGCTAGTTCTTTCCTCGTTCTCTTCTAGTTTTCTCCTTGTTCTCTGCTCGTTCTCTTATTGTTCTCTGCTAGTTCTCTCCTTGTTCTCCCCTTGTTCTCTGCTAGTTCTTTCCTCGTTCTCTTCTTGTTTTCTCGTTGTTCTCTTCTTTCCTTGTTCTCTGCTCGTTCTCTCATTGTTCTTCTGTTCTCCCCTTGGTCTCTCATTGTTCTGCTGTTGTTCTCCCCTTGTTCTCTGCTAGTTCTCTCATTGTTCTCCTGTTCTCCCCCTGTTCTCTCATTGTTCTGCTGTTGTTCTCCCCTTGGTCTCTCATTGTTCTGCTGTTGTTCTCCCCTTGTTCTCTGCTCGTTCTGTTATTGTTCTCTCATTGTTCTCCTGTTCTCCCCTTGTTCTCTCATTGTTCTGCTGTTGTTCTCCCCTTGTTCTCTCATTGTTCTCCTGTTGTTCTCCCCTTGTTCTCTGCTAGTTCTCTCCTTGTTCTCCCCTTGTTCTCTGCTAGTTCTTTCCTCGTTCTCTTCTTGTTTTCTCGTTATCTTCTCTCATTGTTCTCCTGTTCTCTCATTGTTCTGCTGTTGTTCTCCTCTTGTTCTCTGTACGTTCTCTTATTGTTCTCTGCTAGTTCTCTCCTTGTTCTCCCCTTGTTCTCTGCTAGTTCTTTCCTCATTCTCTTCTTGTTTTCTCATTGTTCTCTTGTTCTCTCATTGTTATCCTGTTGTTCTCTCCTTGTTCTCTGCTAGTTCTCTCCTTGTTCTCTCCTTGTTCTCTTCTTGGTCTCTGCTGTTCTCTTCTTGTACTCTGCTCGTTCTCTCATTGTTCTCCGCTTGTTCTCCCCTTGTTCTCTCCTTGTTCTCTTCTTGGTCTCTGCTGTTCTCTTCTTGTACTCTGCTCGTTCTCTCACAACCCCCCACCTGGACAAGTTTCAAGCTGTGGGGAAGAAAGCAGTCTACCAAATGTGCGTTAAAGTTCTGAACCTGCACTCTTTGGCAGGACTGAAGGAGTCGAGGTGGACTGACTTCTTTGGTCCAGATGCTTCCCCGAAAGGCAGCTGGCGGTCCCTGTACAAGCTGCCTGGTGAAAAGCGGACAGCAGACCTCCAGTGGAGAGTTGTACATGGGGCAATAGCTACAAACAGATACAGAGCACACCTGGATCCAGAGTTGGGGGAGGAGTGTATTTTCTGAGACCCTGGCACTTTTATTTATTCAGTGTCCTCCCCTATCAGCACTTGTGGAGCTTTTAAAACGGTGGTTTCAGGGTCTTGGGGAGTCTCTTTCTTTTAGTTTGTTTATTTTTGGCCCAAAATACAGTGCTAAAAAGAAGTCAGTGCACACTTTGGTAAACTTTTTATCTGGTTCTGCAAAGATGGCCATCTGGCTGATGCGCAGAAACCGGGCTCAGAGTGCCGGCTGCGTAGAGCCGGTGCCGGTCTTGAAGGGACTGCTTAAGGCTCGATTAAGGGTGGAGCCATGCATATTATGCATCCAGGTTTATGCTCTGTGGGGGGAGACGGAGAGATGAATGTAAATATATATGGGTTTGTTGTGTTGGTTTTTTGTTTTCTTGAAAGAAATCACATTTCTTTCTCGTTAATGTGATGATGTGACAATGAGTTTATTTGCTATTCTGGTTTCAATGTTCAATCAAGGGATTTTGAAACCGAAACCGTTCTCTCCTGTTCTCTCCTTGTTCTCTGCTCGTTCTTTTCTCGTTCTCTGCTCGCTCTCTACTTGTTCTCTCCTCGTTCTCTGATTGTTCTCTTCTTGTTCTGTCCTCGTTCTTTCCTCATTCTCTGCTCGTTCACTGCTCGTTCTCTCCTTGTTCTCTCCTTGTTCTCTCCTTGTTCTCTCCACGTTCTCTGCTCGTTCTCTCCACGTTCTCTGCTCGTTCTCTCCTTGTTCTCTGCTCGTTCTCTCCTTGTTCTCTGCTCGTTCACTGCTCGTTCTCTCCTCGTTCTTTGCTTGTTCTCTCCTTGTTCTCTCCTTGTTCTCTCCACGTTCTCTGCTCGTTCTCTCCACGTTCTCTGCTCGTTCTCTCCTTGTTCTCTGCTTGTTCTCTCCTTGTTCTCTCCACGTTCTCTGCTCGTTCACTGCTCGTTCTCTCCTCGTTCTCTCCTCGTTCTCTCCTTGTTCTCTCCTTGTTCTCTCCACGTTCTCTTCTTGTTGTCTCCTTGTTCTCTGCTCGTGCTTTCCTCGTTCACTGCTCGTTCTCTACTCGTTCTTTCCTCGTTCACTGGTCGTTCTCTCCTTGTTCTCTGCTCGTTCTTTCCTCGTTCACTGCTCGTTCTCTCCTTGTTCTCTGCTCATGCTTTCCTTGTTCTCTGCTTGTTCTCTGCTTGTTCTCTGCTTGTTCTCTCCTCGTTCTCTGTTTGTTCTTTCCTCGTTCACTGGTCGTTCTCTCCTTGTTCTCTCCTTGTTCTCTCCTTGTTCTCTGCTCGTTCACTGCTCGTTCTCTCCTTGTTCTTTCCACGTTCTCTGCTCGTTCTCTTCTTGTTCTGTCCTCGTTCTCTGCTCGTTCACTGCTCATTCTCTCCTTGTTCTCTGCTCGTTCTCTCCTTGTTCTCTGCTCGTTCACTGCTCGTTCACTGCTCGTTCTCTCCTCGTTCTCTGCTCGTTCTCTGCTCGTTCTCTCCTCGTTCTCTGCTCGTTCTTTCCTCGTTCACTGCTCGTTCTCTCCTTGTTCTCTGCTCGTGCTTTCCTCGTTCTCTCCTTGTTCTCTGCTTGTTCTCTGCATGTTCTCTGCTTGTTCTCTCCTCGTTCTCTGTTTGTTCTTTCCTCGTTCACTGGTCGTTCTCTCCTTGTTCTCTCCTTGTTCTCTGCTTGTTCTCTCCTTGTTCTCTGCTCGTTCACTGCTCGTTCTCTCCTTGTTCTTTCCACGTTCTCTGCTCGTTCTCTTCTTGTTCTGTCCTCGTTCTCTGCTCGTTCACTGCTCATTCTCTCCTTGTTCTCTGCTCGTTCTCTCCTTGTTCTCTGCTCGTTCTCTCCTTGTTCTCTGCTCGTTCACTGCTCGTTCACTGCTCGTTCTCTCCTCGTTCTCTGCTCGTTCTCTCCTCGTTCTCTGCTCGTTCTTTCCTCGTTCACTGCTCGTTCTCTCCTTGTTCTCTGCTCGTGCTTTCCTCGTTCTCTCCTTGTTCTCTGCTCGTGCTTTCCTCGTTCTCTCCTTGTTCTCTGTTCGGTCACTGCTCGTTCTCTGCTCGGTCACTGCTCGTTCTCTCCACGTTCTCTGCTCGTTCTCTCCACGTTCTCTGCTCGTTCTTTCCTTGTTCACTGCTCGTTCTCTCCTTTTTCTTTGCTCGTTCTCTCCTTGTTCTCTGCTTGTTCACTGCTCGTTGTCTCCTCGTTCTTTCCACGTTCTCTGCTCGTTCACTTCTTCTTCTCTGCTCGTTCTTTTCTTCTTCTCTGCTCGTTCTTTTCTCATACTCTCCTCATTCTCTGTTTGTTCTCTTCTTGTTTTCTCCTTGTTCTCTAACGTTCTCCTCCTTTTCTCTTCAGGTCAGCTGATTTCTGACGATGTCTCTGAGATATTTACCCGGATTAAAAAAGACAATGAGTTTATCGCCCCGTACGCAAACACCCTCGCCACCAGGTCAGCCAGCGCTCAGTACGACGACAGCTACCTAGGTAACCACACACACACACACACACACACACACACACACACACACACACACCATTTTAATTAATCCAATTAAGTCCAGACAAGATAAACTTTGACCATCAACATCTGTGTGTTTCCTTCTTAATGTATCAGATGTCATCTTAACTTTATTCGATCACCACAACGACTCTTTCAGCCTCCTTCAGTCTTTCTCTCGTGCTGATGACATTTCATTTAAATCTAAATGTAGCAAGATCTTTTCTTCCCATCCTTGAGAAAGTGAAATTTTTAACTCTGTGGAGGGGAGTTTAAAGTTCTCAGGCGAAAATAATGTGTTATTGTGAGTGCAGTGTGGATGTCTGCTCTGCCTGTGAGACAACGCTGAAGTCACGGCTTTATGCAAGGTTTCATTGGCTGAGTCGAAATAACGTCTCCAGCTACGATATTCTGTCGAATTAATGCAAAACCAGGGACCGCCATCATAACACCAAATACATAAACTATAAACTGTTCTCAGAGGAGAACACAGGAAGTGATTTTACAGAGCAGTTCTGTTGCTGATGCAGACAAAATAAATGCATTTTAATTTCAGTCTGAGCGTGTGACGTTAAATACTAAGATGCTGTGATGAATACCATACCACCAATTTTGTACATAACATTCTCCTCCTATTTATACCTAAACAACCGTGTACAGAACGGCTGGTTTGTCATTTTTAGCACACGCTTAGGATTTAGAATTTCGAATTTAAACAATTTGATATATAGAAGATGCAGTCGGCTCCATTTAAGACTCTACACACTGAGAGCGTTCTAAAAGCAACGCAGTTCTTGTAGTTTTACTGAGCGCGTCTCTCTGTGTTCCCCAGGATACTCTGTGACAGTCGCAGACTTCAACGGCGACGGAAAGGAAGGTAAGAACAGACGTGGATCTATAACACTGCCAGGTTCTGAGTTTGAGTCCAACACTTAGATAGATAGATCAAAGGTACTGATAACTGGCTGTTGTTAGTGATGATGATGTTAACCACTAACCTCAGAGCCCAAAGGAACTCTCTGGTCTATTGAACACAACAAGTGTGAAAGAATTATATTTTAATGGAAAAAATGCATTTCCTACAGAAAATGTGTGTGAATGCTGAAAGCTGAAATTAACTTACTAAACACTGCAGAAAATGTGTGTTAATGCTGAAAGCTGAAATTAACTTGCTAAACACTGCAGAAAATGTGTGTGAATGCTGAAAGCTGAAATTAACTTGCTAAACACTGCAGAAAATGTGTGTGAATGCTGAAAGCTGAAATTAACTTGCTAAACACTGCAGAAAATGTGTGTGAATGCTGAAAGCTGAAATTAACCTGCTAAACACTGCAGAAAACATGTGTGAATGCTGAAAGCTGAAATTAACCTGCTAAACACTGCAGAAAACATGTGTGAATGCTGAAAGCTGAAATTAACTTGCTAAACACTGCAGAAAATGTGTGTGAATGCTGAAAGCTGAAATTAACTTGCTAAACACTGCAGAAAATGTGTGTGAATGCTGAAAGCTGAAATTAACTTGCTAAACACTGCAGAAAATGTGTGTGAATGCTGAAAGCTGAAATTAACTTGCTAAACACTGCAGAAAATGTGTGTGAATGCTGAAAGCTGAACTGAGCTGAAATACATCGCTGAAAAGCTGAAAGTTGTTAATCTGTCAAAGCTGGAAATTAGTTAGTCAAAAGAGAAGTACATGGAAGAAGGTAGTAAATAGCTGAATCGTAGCACACATGCCCTTAAAAAGCAGAACATTTTGATATTGGAATGGTTTCTGTAGTTAAAGGGTTTGGAGTGTATTTTACATACAGCTCTTTTATTCAGTAAAGGCTGTAATGTTATTAAATGCAGACAGAATAGAATTGTGATTTTCAAATTAAGGCTGAGCAAAATGTTCAAAAATGTTATCACTATAAAAAATGTAATTTCATTTAATTTCGATAATTATCAGGATAAATGTCACATCATTGTTTCTTTCAGGTTTAAAGGCTGATTTTTGCTCCTGAGTGAAAGTTAATTGTAGTTTTAAACTTTTCTTTCTGGTCAGAACAAACACTTGATGCCAAACAGTGGATCACTTCACAAATCTGAGGCAGAACGTTCAGAACTATTCTGATAAAAAAAAAAAATTAAATTAAGTAAAATCTGTTTTCAGTCTCTTTTCCTCAACAAAATAAATATCTTAATAGAAAAATTAAGTGCTGATTTGTTCATGATACAAATTTATTAAACATTTGTAATTGAGGATAATTACCATTATTGGTTTATTGTCCAGCCCTGTTTCAATCAGAAATCCATTTGATGGTTGCAGCATCTTAAACGCCCTGTTTGTCCTCGTCTCAGCATAGTTTAAAGTTTTGGACTGTTGGTCGGATAAAACAAAGCATCTGATGACATCGAGGGACATTTTATAGACCAAACGGTTCATTGGAAAAATAGATTAATCGATAATGAAAGTAAGGTTTTCCTCACCTCCACAGATTATGTGACTGGAGTACCTCGCGGGGAGAAGGCCCTGGGTTACGTAAGTGTTAAACACACAGTGGATTACAGCCACGCATCAGTCCTGGTCAGGGTTCCCAGACGTGGACCGAAACTGATCCGTGGAGCGGTTTGTGTGAAGCTCAGCTGACGACCTGTGTTTGATGTTTTAGGTGAACATCTTCAACGGCCTCAACATGCAGTCCATGGTCAACTTCACAGGAACGCAGGTGAGCTGCAGCACAGAGCAGCCCCCACATTCAGCATCCGGCCACGCCACTGCGTCGGCACGGAGGGGGTCCTGCCGCTGGTTCCACCAAAATCGTTTGCAACGTTTCATTGACAGAACAAAAACACGGAACTCAAGCAGCACACACTAATAGGGTTGGGTATCGTTCCAGTTTCATTGATTCTCGGTGACCTTCCTCCCCTTCATGTCTCTAAAGTGAAAGGAGTCTCTGTCCTAGAGGGGCGTCTCTGGGGACTCGTCTCATCTGTAGCCATCGTTGGTGTAGTGGACCTAAATTTATTAGTTATGCATTTTAATAAATTTATGAGAATTGATACCCAATTATGAATTATTATTCATAAAATCAGAATTTCCTCGTAAAGGGCCCCACCGGAGTTGTTATAATCCTAGAGTCTCCGGACCTCTAGGTAGTTTTGAATAATTATACAATTATTACTAGTGATCAGTTAGTTAATAATCGCTCAATTATCTTAAATCAGTCAGTCAGTCTCATATCTAAAGGGTCAATTCTCTTGGCAGGAACTATAAATAGGCAACACACACAGCTCTTGATTATATTACAGTGAATTTATTCTCTAACTAAGGTGATAAAAAGATGGTTGGATACAGGGAACATAAACATTTGCTGAACAATGAGCCTGGAGGTTCGACTGTGGGAAGCATTTGACTCATACGGCATAGAAGAGCTAATGAAAGTAAACTAATGCTATAGTTTAGTTACGGCTTGTCGACAGCCTGCTTTTGGCCTGTTGCACGGGTCCCACGCTAGCTGCCCGATCCTGGCTTTTTGCTAGGGATTGTCCGGGGTTCTCCGTGTCTGATTGAAAACGCCTCCTCCGTCTGGCAATTCGGCTGTTTGCAGGTTTCCTTGGTTGTAGCTGGCGAGACCACGTGGCTTGGTCTGACCTCGGTGAAGTTGGCTCGACGAAAAAGGCTTAAAATGGAACTTGGTCGTTCCTGAATTAGTCCAGTGTAACTTAACGGACTGATAACTTTAACAAACAAAAGAAATAAAGAAAATAAAACAAACTGAAGGCAGATCGATGTCTCGGCACTTCAGGTGTGTAGCTTCAGGCGAACAAAGGCCTGTTTGTTTCGCTGGCCGAGTCTGGGCGTGTTGCCTGGCGAGGCACGCCGAACGCGTGCCGAAGCATCCAGAGGGCAGAGTGGAAGAGCGAGAAGAGAGCGAGCAGGTCGCGTGTCGCTCTTTTGTTGCCTGGGGCGTGGTTCCCCAGGGGGCGTCTCAGGTTTCCCCAGGAACTGCCTTTCCAAACTTAATGTCTAAAGAAAAGAAATCTATTTGCACGTATTATAATCAAATATTTTCCACAATCGAACCTCAATGGTTGAACGGTTGTACTGTTCTAAGCATTTGGTAAATTGTCACATTATTGGTCAGGATTTTTATACATTTAACCGCATTTCCGACGAGGGCATGTAATACTTATTTCGTCCACTTGGGGGAGCTCAGGTTACATGAGGAAAGCTTGGATTAAATCAAAGATCGTCTCTCCTTAGGAACCGGGGAATTTGTTGATTCATCCTTAAATTCAAGCTGGCGATTAAGAGTATAGTAAAACATTTCTTTGTCATCATTTCTAAAGGGATTTTGTAAGAAAGTATTATGAACAAGCATTGATTACATCAGATGAAGGAGTGTCTTGCTGAAAATAAAACACTGCACAAGTAACTTCTTTTCAGCACTAATATCAACAACAGATAGCAACAACAGTTAACATAACTACTCCAATAGAGGCAAACGTAATCAGGTAACTAAAGATTTAATTAAATTTAATTAGATGCTTTGAGTCTTTTGGAGAATGCAGTCCTTTGTCATCCAAAGTTCAGTGTCTGGAACATGTCACACTTAGGTGAGACAAGGAGTATCCTTTTGATGTGGTAATAAACAAAGAATAAGGTCAGTTTCCACGGAAACGTGTGTGGTGGGGTAAGTTTTGATAGGCTGTTCAGGGAGATGCCAATGACTGGCTCGTGTCCCTTTGTCAGTTTAACAGTCAGGCCCCGCGTTATCAGCTTCGGAATCAAAATGGTGCCAGTTTTATGGTCGGGCTAGCACTTAGAGAAAGCAACTTTGACCCCTCCCCATCTTCTCTGGGGAGGAGAAAGGAATTTAGGGTAGCTCCACATTTATTCAATGAAAAATGCACAAATCCACACTGTTGTTCACTACATTGGTTTCCCTTCAGTATAAAAGGTGAACCAGTTCTCCAAACCCAACCCTACTCACTGGAAGTATCTTCTCTAAAGAAAGCAAGGATTTTGAATTTAATACACATTAATGAGCTTTCCAGCGTTAAAGATCAGTATTTGTGCATCATGTGCCATCACACACCGACTAATGTCAGCGGACTGCAGGACCAAACTCCAGCACGAGTGAAGAAGCAGCTGACCAACACACACTGCAGCACTCTACAGAAGATCCACCTGTGGTAGTAGAGTGCAGCGGCAGGAAGTAGAGGTGTGGAGCCAAATGCAGACAGAGGCGAGGAGATTGCAGTCCAACAAAAGATTTAATAACGCAACTTAAACAGGGTTACTCAGGAGCACAGCAGGCCAAAAGTCCAAACAAAAGTGTCTCCAAACGGGCAGAGTAATAATCCAGAACAAGGCAGAGAAATATGCAAACACGAGGGAATAAATCCATGGAACAAAGAACAAGTAGGAACACTCAACATTAGAAAAGGACCTCACAAAAACTGAAGAGAACTGAAGGTTTAAATACACAGAATAAAGAATAAACCAAAACACAAGCAGACACAGATCCATAAACAAAAGTACAAAAACACAGGCAGGGGTAACAAACTAATAATCAAGACAAAAATACACTAAGCCAACAGGAACAAAGCCAGACAAGAACACCGGGCACAGAAGATTACAAAATAAAACAGGAAGTAAAGTACACGGGAACACACGACCACAGATCTACCAAAGTAAAACACAGAACATGGAAAGACCGCAAAATCAGGGCATGGAACAGAGACCGGACCAAACAGGAGACAGGACTACACCAAAACATGGAGACATAGGACTAAGGACTCAAACAAGTAAAACTAAAGTAAGCTACAAAACCCCAAACAAGACAAGATCAAATAATAAAACACATGAACTAAGAACTGAGGCACTGGACTAAGATAAGAGACAAGACAGATACTAAGTAAACTAAAACATGTGAATGAATAAAATAATAGACCAACGTCTGTTTTACAAATGAAATGTAGTTTGTGATGGTTTCTGAATGAATGCAAGTTCCAGACTTTACTTCAGTGAGCTTCATCAAGACCAGTCGGCTTAACCGCCAGTTATGTTTCACTAGAAACACAAGTAAATGTTTTGGCACACAGGAGTCTGATGCTGGAGCCCCCCCCCTTTCTAATTATCAGATTAAAGTGAATCACCCACCCTGAAATAAAACGCAGGGCTGTCCAGAAAACTGCTTCAAATTTTTGCTGCAACGTCAAATATCTCACAGTTAAATCTGTGCAAGCTCTCATTGCTGGTAGGTGACCGTGGAGAAGAATCAAAGACATAAATATTACAACAGTAACAGGAAGTAACTCCTAACTGGCCTTTCTGTCTGAAACACAGACAGATGTTAAATCAAACCGCTGCTGACTGACGCTGCTTTTACATCTCCACATAAAACACAGAGACCCTCACTCAGCTTCTCGTGAACTAACAGCAGCTGCATTTATGTTGAGTCTGTTGAAAACACTACAGATGGAGAAGAAGAAGAGAGGGAGGGTGTCTTCGAAGGAAAAAGGATGAGGGCTGGAGAGGAAACGAGTTAATGACAGAGTTCCTCTCGTCTTTCCTGTCCCTCCTCCATAACTCGCCCTCTGAACCCGTCAGCCTCTGTTATCTCTCCCTCCAGCCGGCGTTTTATATCTCTAGTCTTGTGTGAGTCTCTGTTTGGAGGTTTCACATTCATCTAGTGTTTCATTTAAACAGGAACAGACAGTTCAAACAACACGGCGTCCGTCCTCCCCTTAACTCTTCTTTTCCCTCTCCCCTGACGGTGTGTCCGTCTCCAGTTTGAATCACCTGGATCGTTTTTACTCCTCTAACCCTGCAAGTCAAAGCCGTGACCTCAAACTCAACACGCATCTGATTCGCTCCTCCTTTATGGGGATGAGACAGAGAGAGAGATGTGAGGACGCAGAAATGCAGCGTCGTTCTGATGAGGCGGCAGATCCTCACACAGGAAGTGAAACGGCACCGATGGACAATTAAATCTATTAATTATACAACGAGAAACCGCCAAAATAAAATAATTTGTTTAGGAACTGCAGGTAAAACAGAACCGCAGCTGTGGAGGAGAAATATTACTAGTTTTCTGGAATCAGCTGAAGATGCACCTGCAACACAAATAAGAAAATTATGATTATTATTATATTTGTAATATTTTTATTTCATGAACAGTAAAACAACCACGTGCGGGGGCAGTTCATGTTAGCAGTCGTGTACTTCGCCACCAGCAGTTCACTACTACAGAAAAACTGGAAGAGATTCTGAATGTTTACACCTGGCTCTGTATTAACCCTCCTGCTGCTGCTGCTGAGCGAACAGCCGGTAAAGCTGTCAGTAAACGCTGCTCACATTTTAGGATGAAGCCAATGTGTTCCTCTGAGATGTATGTTTCGACACAAGTCGATGCTGAAATTTTAAAAACATGTTGCTACTCGTTTCGAGATCCAACACGTAACTGCAGCTGCCTCGACTGGTAGACTAGTGAAGAGCCGTGTGTGGAAACTGGGCTGTTTCCTTCAACAGCTCCGTGACAAAGCCTGGATTTCTACCAGTTCTGGGATCAGAGAGCTGATTCAGGCCGACGTTTCACAGTTTGGATTGACACAAAATCACCAATGGTGACGATGCACAAACGCTCCTGTTACTGTAGGAGGAGTTAGGGGCCGTCTGCGCCATATAGAAGAAAAGTTGAATTGATTATGCGCAGTTTCAAGAGAATATTTTGACATTAAACCACCTCTCATCTGTCCCGAACATCCTCTCACAGCTGTTAGTTGTTCAAGTGTTTTTATTAAAGGGGTGTGTGTTAAAGCACGTGATGGGATTTATTATTTTATTTTTTTAACGTGGGATCAAATTTGGAATTGGTTATCGTGGAGTTTTACTGGTTTCAATATCGACTGCTAAATTTCTGGTATCGTGATGACGTCTCTAACCTAAGAACTGTGATTTAGGGAGTGTAGAAATAAAGCTTTTCTAAATCTCTGTCTTGTAGATGGCTGCCTACTTTGGACATTCGGTGGCTGTGACTGATATTAATAAAGATGGGTAAGTCTGACTCCAGCTGAGCAGCAGCCTTACGCTCTCTCTCTCTCTCTCTCTCTCTCTCTCTCTCTCTCTCTCTCTCTCTCT